ACTCCCCTCTTGAGGGTTCCCACAGTGACTTGCAAAAGTCCAGTGAGACCCGAGAGCGCTGAGGCGGGGCACGAAGCATGTGGTTCTTGCGGTTGCGACGCTCGAGCCGCCATCTTGGGTGCTGGCGGCGGAAACCAAACTTCCTCTCGGGGCGAACCTGGAGAAGCCACCCCAGCAGTGAGGGACGGTTGCGCCTCATGGCTCAGGCAAGGGCACCTTCTCGGGAACAGTCCTGCGGACGATTGTCATGAGGGTGGTGGGACGTTGGTGGTGTGAGAGATGTGGGGTAACGGCGATGGAAACACTCCAAAGAGCCGCCCTCGCTTGGCCCCCCTCCAAACTCATCTAATCCCACGGAGCTTAGTCCTGCTTTTTAAGGGACGTTTCTCAGTTTCCAGTTTCTCCAGTCCCATCTGGTTATATTTTCAAAACACGTTTGTGACTCTCAAACGTTAGTTTACTCCCAACATCACTTGGGGAGCTTCTAAACTTAGGAATTCCGAGGCCCCACTCGAGAGTCTGATTTTGTGACCCTGGAGTGGCGGCCCGATAACCCGCCTGCTGGGGTTAATTTAACGCAGCTGATGCGAAGACCCCATTTAGGAAATCATTGGGTTAGCGTTTGCAATGCGTTGCTCCCAGCTGTGGGACAAAGGTGTCAACTTAAGTTCTGTCTTCTTGGAAGACCCCCTAATTTATGGGTGAGTCAGTCCCTGAATAAGGACAAAGCCAACTGATAACCCAGTAAATGATGGAGCCCATTTTGTGCTTGCAGAGTTAGGAGGCTCACTTTGGGGCGGTTTACAGATTATTAAATACTTTCACTGTGTATAAACATACACCAGCAACTACTCATGGAATTCTTAAAAAAACTTCTGAGCTAGTTTACCGTTTCAAAGACTAACTCAGAGAACATGTCTTATCTATTCCAAACTGGACTCGAACTCCCGGACTCAAGCGATCTTCCCACTTATAAGGGACTACTGGACACCTGTCTCCCAATAAATACTTGAGTATTAACAAAATGAGGACTAGAACTTTGTGCGTTAACTGTTACAACTTAGTAGACACTCAAATACTGAGTACTTGAAGGGGGACTAGAGCAGGCAGGCCTGTGATTTTCCTGTTAAAAGCAGAAGTTAACCACACCTTGGAGGATGTATAGTTTTGAAGGATATGGCATGTTACCAATAAAATAGAGCATTCTGTCCCTGAATTAGTGAGACAAGACGGGTATTGTGTAATAAAGGAGGAGAAATTTAGTTGTGGCCATCAACTCTAAAAATCAAGAAGGTTGAGAAATACTGTAAAACCATAGAACTGGGCTGGGCTCAGTGGTTCACAGTAGCACCTTGGGAGACCGAGGGGGGAGGATTGTGTGAACCTGGGAGACCAGCCTGGGCAGCATAGAGATCCCCATCTCTACAAGAACAAGCAGGGCCTGGTGGCACACATCTATAGTCCCAACTACTCAGGAGGCGGAGCCGGGAGGTTGAGGCTGCAGTGAGCTATGATGGTGCCAGCCAGGGGAACAGTGAGGTCCTGCCTCAAAAAAATCAAAACGGAATTCAAAAATACAAAGTCTCAACTAAAGTACAGTGTTTAAATACAAGACGGTTTTGAAAAGGTGAGTGGTCTTTTTTTTTTTTGACACAAAAAATACAGAACAATTTTCAGTCCTAACATAATTCAAACTAAAACTGGGCAGTCATTTATCTATGTGGAGTTTCCTACATAGCCATTTCACAAAGGTGGGCAGAAAAAGGGAAAGAGAGTTGCAAGAGCCAAAGAGAGTAAAGGTATAGAGACAAACATAATTGCAACAGTAGGTCTAGGCCTGGCAGAGTGTGGGCGCCCAGGATATCTGATACTCCATGGAATGTCTTCCATTCTGTCTAGAGTTCCAGATCAAGTCTGAGCAGGTGCAAGCTTCTCAGAACCTGCTGATTAACCTTGTAAAACCCAGGGTGTGTCCTTCTTCACCCAGGAAGCCACCCCTCTCTTTTCCCCCCACACTCTCCCCCTCCCGTTTCCTGGGACAGCTGTTAATAGGACAATTACCCAAGAAGCAAAAGAAGAATCTCATGTTGATGTCTCATCAGTCCCGGTATATCCATTAAATCAGACTGAGAAGACCGCTGGAAAAAGTGAGCGCATATGCATGGCTCCCAAGGGAAAGGCTGGCAGCCAGTGTAAAACCAGGCCTTGCCCCTGCGACTGTAGGCTGTGCAGGAGAGAGAAGGCAGTGGAGCCGAAAAGAGAGTTAGGTCTAATGCACAGGGATTTGGGGCCAGCTAACAATAAAACATACATGGAAATCCCCAGCCTGGGAATAGCAGTGTTGACCGACCCAGCTTCCCCCGTAGGAAAAGCTGCTGCTGCCACCAACAGGCAAATCCATCCCACAGTCATCCCCAGAGGATGACACCTGGCAGAGAAGAGGCTGTGGGAGGGCAGGCTGGCTGGGGCTTCCATTTCTTCTGGAACAGTGAAATGGCTTTTTTCCCTTAAAGGGAAACCCAGTCTTTCTGCCATTCTGGTTCCCCATTGTCTTTCCTCTAAAAATGTCTCTAAGGCAAGGCACAGTGCCTCACACCTGTAATCCCAGCACTATGGGAGGCCCAGGTAGGCAGTTCACTTGAGCCAGGAGTTTGAGACCAGCATGGGCAACATGGTGAAAACCTATCTCCATAATTTTGAAAATGAAAAATCCAGGCATGGTGGTTCATGCCTGTACTCTTAGCTACTGGAGAGGCTGAGGTGGGAAGGTCACCTGAGCCCAGTGAGGTTGAGGCTGCAGTGAGCTGTGATCACGCCACTACACTCCAGTGTGGGCGACAGAGTGAGACCCTGTCTCGAAAAAAATGTCTTTAAGTGTTGCTAATCTATATAAGTATTTCTTACTCTCCAAACTCATCTAATCCAGGGGAATAGATTAGATAGATGATTGCCTGAGATTTCCTTACAATCCTGAGAGATTCTAGGATTACATCATGTCAGTACTAAATGTTAGCATGTTTTGCAAAAAAAAAAATCCATTAGTCTTCTGGTTAATCCAGAGATCTGGCCCCCTCTCTTAAGTGGTAAACATCATTAGCAAGCTTGTAGCTAGCCATTAAACCACCAAAAAAGGTAAAGCTCTTCTGCAAGCCAGCCTCTTTCCTATGCACCACTACCATGCTGTCTTAGAAGATTGCTTCTCAATCCTGGCTGCACATTACAATCACCCAGGCAGGGAGCTTGTAAAAAATACCAATGCCCATGTCCCACCCCACACTAATTAAAACAGCCACCCAGAGCAGAATTAGGCATCTGTATTTTGTAAAAGCTTCTCAGGTGATTCTTATGTGTAGCCAGAGTAGAGAATCACTAGCTTGGAATAAGAATCCACGTTGGATTAAAAAAACAAAAAGCAAGCAAAAGATTGTGGTAATACAGGAACACAAACTAGAATGACCATCTGACTTCTTTTTTTTTTTTACTTCTTGCTCTGTGGCCCAGGCTGGAGTACAGTGGTTGCCATATCAGCTCACTGCAACCTCTGCCTTGAGTTCAAGCAATTCTGCTTCAGCCTCCCGAGAAGCTGGTATTGCAGGTGTGGACCACCACACCTGGCTAATTTTTGTATTTTTAGTAGAGACAGGGTTTTACCACGTTGGCCAAAGCTGGTCTTGAACTCCTGACCTCAAGTAATCTGCCCACCTCAGCCTCCCAAAGTTCAGGGATTACAGACCTGAGCCACTTGCACCCGACCCATCTGACTTTTAGGATGTGTTCTTTCTCAATCCTAAAATGTTCTTTCTTCACCTTTACAATGAAAATGCCTCATTGTTCATTAGTGTCTGAGTGTAACATTTTTTGAAGCTGAGTTCAGCTGTCCTGTATGTCTTGCTATGTTGTCTGAAACACCACCAGGTAATGTTCTTTGCATAGCTCTGTGTGACATGTCACAATCAAGGAGCTGCCATTATGAGGAGGAAGAGTGGGTGCCTTGGATTCCTAGCTGGGTTCGAAAATCTGGCTCTGTCTCTTACTAGTTGGGCCATACCAAGCTAAACAGAGATAACAATAGACATATTCACAAATCTTAAAAATGAGATCAAAGGCTGGGCACAGTGGCTCACTCCTGTAATCTCAGCACTTTGGGAGGCTGAGGCAGGCGGATGACAAGGTTGGGAGTTGGAGATCAGCCTGAACACATGGTGAAACCCTGTCTACTAAAAATAGAAAAATTAGTCATGCATGGTGGTGTGCTCCTGTAATCCCAGCTACTTAGGAGGCTGAGGCAGAAGAATTGCTTGAACCTGGGAGGTGGAGGTTGCAGTGAGCTGAGATCATGCCACTACACTCCAGCCTGGGCAACAGAGTGAGACTCTGTTTCAAAAAAAAGACTTTAGAAGAAAAATCAGGTCATGTGCCTAAAGCCATTAGTGCGCCTGGGAGAAGAGCTGAGTGTAAGGCCCTGTCTTGGCCAATCCCTCTCTGCACTCACCCTACAACTTTATCTCACAGAAAGCCAAAGGCAATGAAGAAATGAGAGCTGTCCTTAGAATGGTCTACTAGAAACCTATCCTACAGACGGAACATGGAAGTTTTAGTTTCTCTCTAGAGGATGCTACCAGCACACACCTCCCCCTCTTGACATTAAGCAGGAAGGATAGAGAGAGGCTGGTACCCAAGGGAGCTGTTCCTTCTCGTCACATAAGAACAGATGCTGAAATCCTAGGACAGACAGCACAGAAATGTGGCAACAGGAGGGTGAGTCAGAGGAAACAAAATGGTCTCCCCTTTAAGTTATACCAAGACCCAGAGGAGAACCTCGTTTTAATTGCCTGCCTCCCGGGACACCAAAGGGCAGTAACCAATTCTGAGTGCACTACTTCACAGGTTCCAGCTGGGTAGGGATGTGCATAGCCCACCTCCCCGCCCTACTGGGCTACCCCAAAGGGAGCAGAGGGCAGAGAAACATGAAGGCTGCATTCTTTTTTTTTTTTTTTTCCTAGTACAAACTTAGGGCTCTTTATTCAGGCAGTAAAGTAAGGAATAGCAAAGTGGGAGGGCTACACCATCACCATGGCAACAGAAAGCCTCAAAAACATAGAGTCCCTCGACTTCTGTCAGGTAGACTCTTCCTAGCTCAGGAGAAACACATTTTAACTGGTTGAGAACAAGGCCAGGCAGCCTGGCCACACTGTGGAAGGACGGCTGGGTGCGTGGCCTCTGGTCAGTCCTGGAAGTGCTTGGTGAGGGCTTCCAGCAGCTCCTGCTTCTTCAGCCCACTCTTCAGCCCATATGCCCGGCAAGCCTCTTTCAGCATGGGCACAGTGAACTTGCCCAGTGTGCCCTTGCTGATGTGGGTCTTCAGCTCTTCTTCTGAATACTCCACCTTGGGCCTTTTGCTTCCAGAACCGTGTTTTCTCTTGGTAACTTTCCCTTCAGGATTGTAATCTGGTGGGTAAACAACCTCCTTAAATTCATCCACCAGGGAACCCAGTCTTTTATTCATTGCTTCAACCTTGGGCAATGTCAGGTCCACTGCTTGTTCAGGCTCCATCAAATCCAAGGCCAAGGCCTCCAGGTTCCTGAAGTGTTGCTGCAGCACGGGGTTCTCAAAGCTGTCACTTCTGTATGTGAAGCGGAGCTTCTCAACAATAGCCTTCATCTTGTCCACCTGCTCTGGAGTTGCCATGATCTTTTCAGTAAAGGGCATCTTCCTTTTATCATCAGCAAACGGTAAAAAGACCAGCTGAAAGCCTGGAGGAGTGACCTGAATTTTCTGGTCGTCCAACTCCTCATCCTGTGGCACCAAAGCCACAAAATAAGGGGGGATGTTCCTCCGGGGTGCATATCTGCACAGTGCTGCGACCTCCTTCTCCAGACACTTGATGAGCAGAGCACTGAACAGGGTTGAGCTCCCAATCACCAGAGACTCCTCTGGGTACACGAACAGGGAGGGTCTCAGGTAATGGTGCTTCTTCAACATTACCACGGGCTTGAAGCCCATGAGCATCAAACCTGGATCATCAAATCATTTTAGCTCTTCTGTTTCCTCTTTCTCCAGTATAATCTGACGACTTCCATAGATCTGCGACCTCTTGGTATCGCTAGGCAGAAGCAAACCGCCTGTACTTGTATTAAATGTCCGGGTCTTAGTTTTCACTGGTTCATTTGTTTCTCGATAGAGCTTTATTGGAGGAGGCTTGAGAGCCTTCTGGACCAGATTATAAATGCCGACAGAGATCACTATATCTTTGTTGAGCTTCAGCTTTAACCTGCTAAGTGCTCGCTTTCTGGTCTCCTTGGGGCGAACCTTCCGCAACAGGTCTTCTAGCTTGCTGGATTTCTCAAAGTGAACCCTGAGGTCCTCATCCTCTGCTATGCTGATAATATCTCTGTAGAACAATGATATGTCAAAGCCCCCAGGTTTCTTCAGGTGCATCAAGTCAAGGAAGATGCCTGTATCTCGAAGATCACCGGCTTTGGTCCTGGCCCGGCTGGCTTTGGCACTGTCATTGCCGTGGGGGTTGTCTTCATTGGTGAAAAGCATGATCCTCTTATGACTCATCTTGAACTAGACATCACTAAAGAGGTTGGCACAGACCCACAGCACTTCACTGAGTGAGTAGTCAGATCCGTGGCCCATCAGCTCTTGGAAGCGTTTCTGTCCCTGCTGCCCCTTAAACTGGTCAAGCTCTAGAATTCGTTTTGCACCTGGATTATCCAACTCCTGTAAGACGTAAATATTTTTAAAATTCACTGAATTTTTGTCTTTCTCAGTACCATAGAACACCACTGCCAAGAGATCTCGATCACTGCTTATGATCTTACTGATGTAAACACTTTGGATACACTGGATGCTCATGTCAAAAGGAGTCAACTCATCTTCACTTTGAGATTCAAACATAGCCCTGGAAGCATCAACCAAAAAAATCAAACTATCTCTTCCTGAATATTTGTAGTCTCCACTTGCTTCAAGGTTCTCCTCTTCCTGTTCTTCTGCTTCTTCATCGCCCTCAGTTTTGTAATAGGACTCCCACCCTGACATGTTGGCGACTGCTCACTCTGGCGCAGGGAAGCGACCAACTTGGACAGAAGACGAGAATGCACGCAGGCCAGCTGCATTCTTTTTTAACCCAACTTGGCTTCCTCCTGCTGGGGAGGCTTTCCCACCGAGTCTGCTGCTGCACGTGCGCACTTCCCATGTGCTGCCAGCCTTAAACTGGAAAATCCTCTTAAGGCCATGCTCTGTGGAAGACACTGTCCCAACACTGGACACACATAACTTTCATGTTTATGTAAAACTGCATTAAAGGTGCACTTCAAGGCCAGGCACGGTGGCTAATGCCTGCAATCCCAACACTTTGGGAGACCGAGGCGGGTGGATCACGAGGTCAAGATATCGAGATCATCCTGGTCAACATGGTGAAACCCTGTCTCTACTAAAGATACAAAAAATTAGCTGGGCATGGTGGCGCGTGCCTGTAATCCCTGCTGCTCAGGAGGCTGAGGCAGGAGAATTGCCTGAACCCAGGAGGCGGAGGTTGCGGTGAGCCGAGATTGCGCCATTGCACTCCAGCCTGGGTAACAAGAGAGAAACTCCGTCTCAAAAAAAAAAAGAAATACAAAAATTAGCCAGGTGTCGTGGTGTGTGCCTGTAATCCCAGCTACTTGGGAGGCTGAGGCAGGAGAATTGCTTGAACCTGGGAGGCAGAGGTTGCAGAGAACCAAAATCGCACTACTGTACTCCAACCTAGGCAACAGAGTGAGACTCCATTTCAAAAAAAAATATGTAAAGAAATTGTTTGTTTCTTGTTTTTGTTTTTGAGATGGAGTTTCACTCTTGTTGCCCAGGCTGGAGTGCAATGGCATGATCTCGGCTCACCACAACCTCTGCCTCCCGGGTTCAAGCGATTCTTCTGCCTCAGCCTCCCGAGTAGCTGGGATTACAGGCATGCGTCAACATGCCCAGCTAATTTTGTATTTTTAGTAGAAACTGGGTTTCTCCATGTTGGTCAGGAACTCCTGACCTCAGGTGATAGCCCGCCTCGGCCTCCCAAAATGCTGAGATTACAGGCATGAGCCATCACGCCTGGCCAAGAAATTTTAAGAATAGCAACAACAGTGGTAGAGGTGGGGGGTGATGAGAACTTTGTGGTTCCTAAGCTTCCTTCCCAACCTTCTCTCACCCCTATGCCCTTGACGCCCTCCAGTGTCTTCCTGTCCCCAACCTGTGTAACTGACTCCTTCCTCACCTCCCCCATGGAGCCAGCCAGCTCCCTAAGTCCCCTATTTTCCCAGGTCTTCCTCTGACCCTTCTCCTGGCTGCTTGTCTTTCATGGTTGGTACCATATGCCAAACAGAAATGCTCCTGGAGGCTTTTTGGTGCTGTCCTTGTAAATATGGGCCAAATAAATGGACTAGCTCACAGAAATATTAAGGCATCAAAATAACCAGTGTTTTTAAAAATAACATACCAGCTGGGTGCTGTGGCTCATGCCTGTCATCCCAGCACTTTGGGAGGCCGAGGCAGGTGGATCACCTGAGGTCAGGAGTTCGAGACCAGCCTGGCCAATATGGTGAAACCCCATCTCTACTACAACTACAAAAATTAGCCAAGCGTGGTGGTGGGCACCTGTAGTCCCAGCTACTCAGAAGGCTGAGGCAGGAGAATCGCTTGAACCTGGGAAGCAGAGGTTGCAGTGAGCCGAGATTGAACCACTGCACTCCAGCATTGGGTGACAGAATAAGACCCTGTCTCAAAACAAAACAAAACAAAAACCCATACCCAGCCATGACCATTGACATAACTTCTGATGATCTGGAATCCAAAAAAATAAAATGCCCAAATACTGGGTCTTTTCCCTGCCTGCTGTATCAAATAGTGTCAAGTTATGTTCCCTGTTATAACTGATAGCCTGCAAGGAAGGTTCAGATGTGCCTTCTAAGTCATCATATAGGGAGGGTCAGTAGATGCTTCCTCAAATATCTGCATGGCCTGCTTCCTCCTTTCCTTCACCTCTTTGTTCAAATGTTACTTTGTTAAAGTTTTTCTCAGCGGACTCATGAAAATGGTTTTCTGCCCTGGCAGCCCCTGACTCCTCACATTCGATACCCCATTTCTGCTCTGTTTTTCTTTGCAGCACTTATCCCCAACTCACATAATATCTACTTTACCCATTTATTTGTATATTATGTCTTGCACAGACATGTACTCATGCACACACACAAACACTTGATTGTAAGTTCCATGAGAGCAAAAATTTTCTTTTGTCTACTACTGTGTCCCAGTGGCTAGAAAAATACATAGTACATACTAAGCACTCAATAAATGTTTGTACAGCACATAAAATATGGTGTCTTTTTTTTTTTTTTTTTTTTGAGATGGAGTTGCTCTGCTGCCCAGGCTGCAGTGGCATGATCTTGGCTCACTACAGCTTCTGCCTCCTGGGTACAAGTGATTCTCCTGCCTCAGCCTCCTGAGTAGCTGGGACTACAGGCACTTGCGACCATGGCCGGCTGATTTTTGTATTTTTTTAATAGAATCAGGGTTTCACCATGTTGGCCAGGCGGGTCTCGAACTCCTGCTCTCAAGTCATCTGCCCGCGTTGGCCTCCCAAAGTGCTGAGATTACAGGTATGAGCCACCACACCCAGCCAATATGGTATCATCGATAGGTACATTTTAATTATTATTAGTTAAAATGTGATATTTGTGAATATTTATACATTATCTCCCTCATCCTGAATTCCTTTATTCATTTACTTACTCCACAAATGCTTTTTTTTTTTTTTTTTTTTGAGACGGAGTTTTGCTCTTGTTACCCAGGCTGGAGTGCAATGGCGTGATCTCGGCTCACTGCAACCTCCACCTCCTTGGTTCAGGCAATTCTCCTGCCTCAGCCTCCCGAGTAGCTGGGATTACAGGCACGTGCCACCACGCCCAGCTAATTTTTTGTATTTTTAGTAGAGATGGGGTTTCACCATGTTGACTAGGATGGTCTCGATCTCTTGACCTCGTGATCCACCCACCTCGGCCTCCCAAAGTGCTGGGATTACAGGCTTGAGTCACCGCACCTGGCCCTCCACAAATGCTTATTAAATATCTGTCATCACCAGGCCCTGTAAGAAATACTAGGGATTCCATAGTGAACAAGACAAGCATACTTGGCTAGGCAGTGTGGCTCACACTTGTAATCCCAGGACTTTGGGAGGCCGAGGCAGGGAGAGGGCTTGATCCCAGGAGTTCAAGACCTGCCCAGACAACACAGCAAGACCCAGCCTCTACAAAAAAAAAAAAAAAAAAAAAATTGGCCGGGCATGGTAGCACATGCCTCTAGTCCCAACTACTCAGGAGACTGAAGAGAGAGAATGGCTTGAGCCTGGGAGTTTGAGGCTGCAGTGAACTATGATCACACCACTGCACTCCAGCCTGCATGACAGAGCAAGACCCTGTCTCAGAAAACAAAAAAAAGTCACATTCATTTGTTCTTGCAGGCCTCAAAGTCTCGGGGGAAGAAGGAACACCTGTAAACAAACTAGTAAAAGCTGGGATGGTGGTTTGTGCCTGTATCCCAACACTTTGGGAGGCTGAGGTGAGATCACTTGAGCCTAGTTCAAGATTAGCCTGGGCAACGTAGTGAGACCTTGATTCTTCTTCTTCTTCTCCTCCTCCTTTTCCTCTTCCTCCTTCCTCCTTTTTTTTTTTTTTTTTTTTTTTTTTTTTTGAGACAGGGTCTCACTCCCATTGCCCAGGCTGCAGTGCAGTGGCATGATCATGGCTTTGCAGCCTAGAACCCCCAGGCTCCGGTGATTCTCCCACCTCAGCCTCCTGTAGCTGGGACTACAAGTTCACACCACCATAACTGGCTAATTTCTTTGTAGTTTTAGTAGAGACCAGGTCTTACCATGTTGCCCAGGCTGGTCTCAAACTCCTGGGCTCAAGCCATCTGCCCACCTCAACCTCCGAAAGTGCTAGAATTACAGGTATGAGCCACTGAGCCCAGCCTTGAGACTTCATTTCTACAAAAATAAAAATAAAAACAAAATTATCTGGGAGTGGTTGCATGCACCATTGGTCCCAGCTACTCGAGACACTGAGATGGGAGGACTGCCTGAGCCCAGGAGGTTGAGGCTGCAATAAGCCCAGATCGAGCCACTACACTCCAGCCTGGGCAAGAGAGAGAGACACTGTCTCAAACAAAAAAATTAGTAAAAATAATATTTAGACATTGAGAAAGTGCAATGAAGGAAAGTGCAAAGATATCTCTATATCTCTGAGATAGAGAATGTGACAGGAGAGACCTATCACGTCAGATATGGTGGCTGTCAGGAGGACCTTTTGGTAATGACATTTCAGCGGAGGCTTGAAGTCGAGAAGGCTTGATGCATTCAGTGAGGAAAGCCCCATTCTGTAACCATCTACGGTGAGTAACTGTGGTCCACAACATAAGAGGGCTTGAAGAGAATAGGGAAGAAATTTTGAGTAAAAAACCTGGGTTCTATCCCCAGTCAACTAGCTGTACAGTCTTGAAAAGGTCACACAACCTCTGAGTCTCTCTTTCCTTAAAATGGGGGTCCATCATGCCTACCTCACAGGTGTGGGCTATATTAGATAATATATGTGAAAGTGTCAAATGTAAAATGCATGCACAGTCTTGTTACCTGTAAATGCATACATAACAGTAACATATATATCACCCGGGTGTGAATTTCCCTCTGGCCAGTATACCCTGAAATGAGATCTTGTCTTTGGTACACTTAGACCAAAGAAACCAAAACATGCTGCAAAACCCGATGTCATTGGTGGAGCATTTGTGCTGTTGGGCGTCTGGCTTGCTTCTGACGGTGCCACATCTGTGTCTTAGGAGAGCCTGGGGTGGTGTCTCCAGGACTTTGGTTCCCTTCTGCAAGTAGTGAGAGACGAATGGGAAAGCTTCTTCTCCACAGAGGGGTGTTCCCAGAACTATCCTCATCTGCTCTCGCTGACAGACCCTGTCCCTGAGATCCAAAGGGTGACCTATTTGTTCCCATGGTACCTACCAGGGCT